ATAAAGAAAATGGAGATGGGCTGTTCTGGCTCATTGAAGGGATTCCGACCGGACGGTGAGCAAAAGCAAAAAGATGTCAAAAACGTCTGCCTGCTCCGCCGTGGGTCAGTCAACGGCGCAGTCGCAGAGGAATGGAGATTAAACAAAATGAAGAAGATGTGAAATCCATCCGTCAAAGCACCCAGAATAAGAAAGACCTGCGAGAGGTTTTGAGACATGCTCCCTTGCGCCGATCCGACAGTTTGGTTGATTGATTCTTGTCATAAATGAGAGGAGAGAGCAGAATTTCTCCTGGATTCATGGGTGCTTCAGCTCCTCTGGCGCATCAATGATCAATGAGTCGACAGCGGCGATGCAGTCTTTATGAGCCGAGGTTGAGGTCTAGCAGGTAAGGTTGATTCCCTGCCGATGTCAGGGGAGATGAGACAGAACAGTCCTCAGAGAAGCTCCGTGCGCCGGGACGGAAGAACAAGCCAGGAACGACAGCGGGGACTCGGCGGCATGCAGTGGAGCCATCCGGATCCGGACGGTCAGACACGGCGGATCATCTCTCGGCTCCGACGCGGCATGACACTTGAGTCACGTGCAAAGAATCGGAGCGGTTAAATGTTGTCTCCGATGTCTCCACTGCAGAGTTGGAGGGAAGGAGGGCAGGAAGGAAGGGACCTGAGTGACGTCGGTCGGACCTTCTGCACCCTGGGAACCCTGGATCTCCGGCAAAACTCTGGGCAAAACTCGCCCGCCCTCTATTTTACTGCTGTTAGTCACTCATTGCAGCGTGTGAGCGTGCGGGCGTGCAGTTCCAGGCCCGCCACACCCCACGAATTGTGGGGATCTCTACGGTACCGTTGCACACCAACATTCTCAGCCTTCTCTCCGCCGTTACACGGCCAACCCACTGCTACCTTACCTTCGACTGCTGATCCCATTCCCGTGATAGCTCAGCAACACACCTCCCACCGATAACCTTCGAACACCTCCCATCTGCAGTCAGGGTCTTTGATCTGCTGATCCCCGATCTTTTCTTGCATCCTACATCGAGTTCCAGCCCTCGCAGCTCGACTTAATCCGACCGCCACATCTGCATGTCAGCGACTGTTCCTCCCTCCGCCTTTTGCTGAGCTCGAGCCTCGCCTCTCCCAACTCGACGCCGAACCCCGCTGCTCGGCTTGACTGGAGCTCACCAAACACGAATCACTCTACTCTACAGGATCTGTGGTGTATGTCTTCTATAGATCCTACAGATCACTCCTCCGGCCTCTCTGGCGCCCCCCAGAATGATACTGCCGCCGCCCCGGTGACGAGCGCCGAGACCGCGGGGTCCAAGGCTGAAACGGAGCTGCTCAAGCTTGACAACCATGTTGAAGACAAACAGCCCGTGCTGTCAGCGAAAGCAGCAGGCAAACAACAAGCGACCGACGATCTGATCGACTTTGGCGAGGACACTCCGGTCACAACGACCACCACGAAAGATGACCCAAATGTAGACGACAAACCTTCCAAGGACTCGCCCAAGACCGTGTTCAAACCCGCTCCAGTGACCATTCCGGAACCAATGACTTCGTCGATAGCGACTTTGAAGCCCACGAGCCCTCTCCCTGCCGAGACTGCCACACAGTTTCTTACTATCGAGTCCACGACATATGTCGACCCAACACCCCCAACTCCAAGAACATCCCAGCCTCCATCTCGAACCCCCTCAAATGCCAAACGCCGGCCTACCTCTGCATCCCCCACACGATCTGATGCTGGCTATGACGAGCGCAGATATGCAAGCGAAGATGAGCAAGAGAATGGTTCGCGGTCCGAAATCCAGAGTATTATGGAGCAGTTCACTGGCGACGGTGGGGGCCCAGGAGCTGAAGAAGTCATGAGCCCAAGGCTGGAGATTGCTTCGCCTATGCTAGGTAGCCCAGGCATACAGCATCCACCCCGGAAGTCCAGCCTCGAGCCACTGGTACCCTCACTGTCTCACCAGGTACAGGAGCTCCAGGGCCTCAGAATACAATCGGCCTCTCCAGCTAGCATGTTCTCTAAAGAAAGAGCACCTGACGATCAAGGGCCGCCAGTTCCCCCAAAAGACGGACCGCCGGCGACACCAGCGCGATCTCACGATGATCGTCAGATGAGCATCGACTCCCAGATGTCTCCTGGCATGCCCGTACATCGGCCGCCACCCCCTGAACCCGAACCAGAGCCGGCGCTTCCATTCGACTTCCATCGATTCCTAGAACAGCTACGAAACAAGAAGGCGGACCCAGTCGCCAGATACCTCAAGTCCTTTTTGTCAGAGTTTGGCAAGCGGCAGTGGATGGTACACGAACAAGTCAAAATCATTAGCGACTTCCTCGCCTTCATTGCCAACAAGATGGCGCAGTGTGAAGTGTGGCGAGACGTCTCCGACGCAGAGTTCGACAATGCTCGTGAGGGAATGGAGAAGCTAGTCATGAACAGGCTCTACACACAAACATTTTCCCCAGCAATCCCTCCCCCACAGCCCATACCTGGAGCGAAGCCGAAAAGACGAGGCGGAGAGCGACCGATGGGGCCTGGCCGGCGTGGCCAACACCAGGAGGACGTGGAACGAGATGATATCTTGACACAAAAGATCAACATTTATGCGTGGCTTCGGGAGGATCACCTTGACATACCGCCAGCCGGTGATAGTGGCAAGCGATTCCTAAAGCTCGCCCAGCAAGGTACCTACTCACCCAATCTCAACATAGCCCTAGCCGCTGACTATGTAAAGAAATCCTCAAGATCAAGTCATATCGAGCGCCGCGAGACAAGATCATTTGCGTACTGAACTGTTGCAAAGTGATCTTCGGTATGTCGCCGTTCTTCTTCATGTCGCTACTTCAGGGATTAATCTACGATAGGCCTGCTCAAGCACTCAAAATCGGACTCTTCAGCCGACTCGTTCATGCCCCTCCTCATCTATGTTGTCCTCCAAGCCAACCCAGAACATTTAGTGTCAAACGTTCAGTACATATTGCGGTTCCGAAACCAGGAGAAGCTGGGTGGTGAAGCCGGATACTACCTTTCATCTCTGGTAGGTCTCATTGTGGCCGTAGCTGTGCTACACAGTGCTGACATGACATAGATGGGTGCCATTCAATTCATCGAAAATATGGACCGGACAACCTTGACCATTACCGACGAAGAGTTCGAAAAGAACGTCGAAGCAGCGGTATCTGCGATCGCTGAAAAACACCGCCTTGACTCGCCCGCTGTTGCTCAAGAACCCGTCTTCTCGGAGAAGTCATCAACCGAATACCAGACCGGGGAGTCTTCGACAAGGCCTTCCCTAGACATCATGGGAGAGTCGTCCACGCCCCGTCGGTCGACCTCATCGAATGAAGGCGGAAAAGATTCAGATGACCAAGCTCCCATTACGGGACTTCTCCGTTCGATTCAGAAGCCTCTTAGCACAATCGGCCGCATGTTCTCGGATGAGCCGTCTCCTGCGCCGCCTGTACCTAGTAACGCGTCAAGACCGACGTCGAGGCCGCGAGAATCCTCAGAACGACTATCGCCTAGACCGAGCGCCGAAATATCACCCGATGGACGGCCGCCATCTTCCCGTCACCACTTATCAGCGGAAGAGGCTGCAGCGAGGCAGGCAAGCGCCGAAGTTGCTGAAGCTCAGCGTCTGAGCAGGGTAGAGCACAATAACGTCGTCGAGACCCTGCAAGGGATGTTCCCCGATCTTGACAGGGAGATCATTTCGGATGTGGTCCACCAGAAACAGGGGAGAGTCGGGCAAGCTGTTGATGCCTGCTTGGCCCTGTCTACTTGAGGATAAGGAATAGTTGCATCAATAAATTATCGCATCCTCTTGACGATCTAAAAAAGCGTTTTTCAGCCGGGTACATCAGCGACGTTGAGTTTCCGCGGTTCTTGCTTCCCACATCGATCAACCATCTTTCGCCGTTGCACAAGTGGCTAGCTGAGCGCGAGAATCCATGGTTCAATTTACCTCTCAAAGAGCCCTGGAGGCGTCCCTGGGGGTCCCTGGCGTGTCAGGTCCAGTCCGCGCCGCACCAAGGGAGGGAAGCAGGGGGAATGGTGGCGTGGGGGATTGCTATGCGTGGGCTCACGTGGATTCAACCGCTGGAATGTGAGCAGGTTACACGGTCTGGACGGTTCATGTTACACCCGACCCTACTACCCGGTTCGTTGGCACACGGCTTTTGCCAAGTATCAACGTGCTGGTAGAGGCTATTCATAACCTGGAATACGAGCTGGGGGGGGGGGGGTTGTCAACATTTAGCTTCAGCAACAGGCAGGGGGAGCAAAGAGTCCGAGGGTACCACCGTATTAACTCAGTTGGGATGATGTTCAAGGTCAGGCATTGTTAAAAATGAGCGAGCTATTCAGGGCTGAAGTGGGTTGGAACGCAAGTTTGCTTGCCATCTTGCCAATTTAGTCCAAAGAAGAGCCTATCCTCGAGCGAATTACCCAAGGATCCAGGGTCCAAAACTGTGATCGAGACACGAACTGGAACCTGGAATGTAATTAGCGTCTCAACCGTTCACGATCAAGGCCTCTCCCGCAATCTTAATCCGCCGTGATCATCATTTCTCTTTTTGTCCCCTCTCCGTGCCTCGCCATCTTTAAACCTTGATCGTCGGCCCTCTGGTCGAGCCCGAAGGACGTGAGGCGTCGATGTCGGATGATGTACGAGACGCGTCTTGTTGGTATGTGGCCTCATGCCAAGAACCGAACCAAATTCGAGGTACTCAATTCAATTTGATGATTGCTGCTGATACGAAGGAGCTGAGCCGACTGATGACTCTACGTGATATTTCGTGAGATGCCACGGCCCGATCAGATATCTTGCCAGATCCTGCGGCTTCCTGCCGCCATTCACGCCCTGTGCTTTCTCAACCCGTCAAGTCTTTCTCATCTTTGCTGGTACTTATGACCCTCCAACTCAGGCTATTCTAGTCATCAGGTCAGCATCAGCGGTAGGGCGCTGCCGTGGTTCGTTCATCTACCATCACGGCCTTCCTCCAGAATGCAGATGGCCCAGTTCAAGATCCTGGCCACGGGCCTGGGACTTCTAACCCCCTTGGTTCACGCAGTAGCACAAGCACCAACGGCGTACAGCTATGCTTACAGCGCTTGTGGCAAGATCACGAACTTCAACGCAGTCTTTTACGATTACTATTCTTACTCGTATGGAAACGTCCAAGACTGCCAAATGGATTGTGACTCTTTTGGCTCTGCGTTCGCCGCTGTGGGAAACGATGCGAATCAGCAGTGCTGGTGTTCAGACCCTAACAGCCCGAATAATTCACCGAGTCCTGTTCTCGCGTCGGTGCCAAACCCCAACGCCGCTCTTTGCAACGTTGCTTGTACCAACAACAATCCTTATGCTTGTGGAGGAAACTATGGCAGCGATATCATCTATAACGTCTATGGGGTTCGCCAATTCGCTTACCAGTCTACTACTACATCATCAACCTCCACCAGCACGTCTAGAACCTCGACGTCAACATCCTCGACTAGAACCACAACTACTACAACGACCAGCAGCAGCTCCACAAGGTCTACGACTACTTCGACAACCACGACATCCTCTACACGGACTTCAACCTCAACAAGTGCCGGACCAACCAACACCCTTCAACATAGGGCTCCTCGCTTCCGATATAGCTATAGGGGGTGCGGTGCCATTAGCAACTTTGGTACTGTCGGAACGAACTATATTTACGCGATTGGCAACGCCACACAGTGCCAGCAAAGCTGTAGCTCCTTCGGCTCGAACTTTGCTTTCATAGGCAACTACCAACAGTGCTTTTGTTCCACTCCGAGCCCAAGTTATTCTCAGGACATCAATCCCATCTTTTCCACTGGACCCGATGATAACTTGTGCACGACACCCTGTTACTTCGAGACTGGATACTCGTGTGGAGGTCCGAGTACGGGAACTGTCGTTTACGAGGTGTTTGGAGTGAGGGCTCTCGGGGTCTCGTCTTCGAGTTCGTCCTCGACCTCTACTACTTCAAGTTCATCGTCGAGCTCAAGCACAACGACCAGCACCACCTCCTTCAGCTCCTCTTCCAGCTCCTCGTCGTCGTCGAGTAGGAATTCGACCACGAGCACAACGTCCAGTACCTCGACGTCTTCTAGCAGGTCATCAACGACTACTAGTACGACTTCATCATCGAGTAGCTCATCTTCAAGCTCATCCACTTCGTCTAGTAGATCCTCGACCACGAGCTCCTCATCCTCCTCCTCCTCCTCTTCTGCTTCCTCCTCGTCATCATCATCTACGCGTTCCTCGACGACCTCAACCAGCACAAGCTCGTCTTCTATGTCTTCGATTACCTCATCGTCCTCTTCAAGCCCCAGCAGCTCCAGGACAAGTACATTTTCCAACACAACGATCTCTTCAACTTCATCGAGTTCAAGCTCAAGCAGCTCTGCGACATCTTCCAGCTCTTCGGGGTCTTCAAGCACCTCAAGCTCATCAACCGCCTCGTCAACTTCGTCCATTACCCCCTTTCTTACGTTGTCCGCCACGAGTAGTAGTAGTTCAAGCAGCACAGGTCCAACTAGCACTTCAACCTCGACGGCCTTTCCCTCGTCCTCGTCCTCGTCTTCGTCCAGCAGTACGACAAGTTCAAGCCCTGCAAGCAGCTCAAGCTCCAGCTCAATCTTGGTGCCATCAACATCACCTTCTTCGACCACAAGCTCATCAAGTAGTTCGACAACGTCTTCCACTTCTTCGACGTCAAGCTCTCTTACGGCCCCGTTCCCCTTCACAAACACGTCTAGGATTGCTTCGACCACCTTGACCCTGGAGCCTATTCCCAGCACAAGTACAACAAGTATACCCGTGACCTTACCCCCGCTACTGCCGTCTAGCTCCACCACGGTCATCACCTTGCCTTCAACCACCTTGACAAGCATTCTTTCCATATCACTGCCGCCGTCGGTGACTCCCGTCATCACTAGTTCGAGTGCACCAAGCCCGTCCACGACTGCCCCCTCGAGCTCCCGGTTCACGACAACATCGAGCTTCTCCTCGTCCGCCCCGCCTTCCTTATCATCCACCTTATTGTCGACCTCCTTGTCTACGGTCTTGCCTAATTCACTTACCCCGGTCTCGTCGCCAACTTCCTCGCCATCCCCACCCGCACTCAGCTCGTCGTCAAGCTCCTCATCAAGTTCTTCGATCGCCACTCCAGTACCCTCATCTCCTGTATCATCCTTCCCTTCTATTGCGACTTCAAGCTTTACGTCAAGTTCACCAGCATCAACAGCGAGATCCCCTGACCTTCAGACTCCCAGTACCACAACGGTCGACAGTACTATAACTTCAACACCCACCACAACTAGCTCGAATCTCGTCTCAATCGCAACGACCGAGATCCTACCCAACACGCCAGTGGTCTTCTCTATTGTGCTTGGACAAGGTGCTGGGGCTGCGCCTCCTGGGTCTGACCCCACCACCACAGCTTGAAAGTTGCTTGCGTTTGACGGCCTACGTGCTAGTTTTAGTAATGATAACATTTATGAAGCATTGGGTTATCAATTCTGGAGATGATGGCAATGAAAGAAGAGGTAATTTGTAAGATTTTAATAAACAAAACTCAAACGCTGAATCCATTTTCCTGGCAATACTTCGTATCGGTGACCGGACCTAATACATGCTGTCAATCCCACAGATCAAAGTCTAGAAAGCTTCTGAACCTTGAACAAATCCTCCTCATCTGTAACCTGATTCTCCTTAGCCCACTTCCTCTCCATCTCCGATCCCGTCTCAGGTGGCACAAGCCCATTAATCCTCCATAACTCCCTCCTCGCCTCATAAATCCCAGACTCCCACTCGATCCCCTTTGGCTTCAATATGGGCCTCAGTATATCATCCAAAGCCTTGAAGAAGAATGCCTCAATCTGTGGCGTATCGAAGCCGCGCGCAATGTGGTAGATGGAGACGGTTGTCAGGGCTTTGGGCGTCTCGCCGCCGGCGTACATGTTTTCGGGGGTGAGCTCGATGAAATGCGCGTGGCAGTAGAATGCGGGCAGCCCGACGCTGGTGTAGAGCTTGGTCATGCCCTCGGCGATTTGTTTCTTTTCGGCGGCGGTGAAGACGCCGGCATTGCAATTGAAGACCCATTTAGGCATGTTGAGTCGTTTCTATCGATTTGATTCAGGTAGTGCTAAAGATGGTCTGGATGACTTATGTATGGTTACCTAGCGGGGAACTCTATATGTGTTTCTTAGTCTTTGATCAATAGATATAGTCTTCTTGAAATGCGGGCTCGAAAGGCGCCGGCCGGCTTTCGTTATTACCAGCCGATGCGGGATACCGCTCCGGGACGGGATCTGTGCATGCCGCCACTGCTAAGCCGATGTATATCAGTAATCATGGCTTCCGAACCAGCGTCGATCTGGAGATGGTGTTTTGAAACGTCACGCCGATATGCTCCCGCCATGCAAACCCCGCATTCAAGGGCCAGTGTTCTGTTCGTCGTCGATCATCATGCTAAGCAGTTTCCATGAACGCCGAGGTTCGCCACGTTGATTGTTGCTTGATCACAAATACACGGTAAGGAGCAGATCTTGGGTGCTTGTTGATGATACTTTCGAAATGTCCATGAGTTGCAAACTCACATCACCAGTGTAGCTGAATACTTTTCCTAGAAGGCGCATGGATTGTCGAGCTATCGCCACCATACTTTTGCATGCCGATTTTGAAGTAGCATAGGGATACACATTTACTCTCAATGCGTCGAGTTGGCACATTATCACGTATAGCCCGATCATGATGGGACCGGTAGTACGACATGGCAATAATTACTGGCCTCGGTAATCAACCTAGTTGATCTCATTTCTCCGAGCCTCCCATTCTAAATACGTGACTCCCTTGGAATCTGGAAGGCACCCATGGCACTTAAACGCGCGGCTCCTGGGTTGAACCTCTCGGGATACAAGTTCAATATCTCCAAAAACAGCTCCTTTTCAGTCTTGGGGTTCTTTTCCAGGATCTTTCCAAAGTCCTGTATGTACTTCTTTGTCGCAGCGAGGTGCCAAATTCCATCAGTTTCACCCGCCATCTTGTGACCAGCCACCACGTAAGCAGGGTCGAGCGCCTCAACGATTTCAACCGCCCTGATCCATTCCTCGCGCTTGGCTTTAGTGTTCGCTTCCATCAACATCTGGTGGCACTGCCCATAGACTACATCACCGCAGACGGCGAGTCTAAGGTCTGGGACCCAGAGGACAGTTGAGTCATAGGTGTCGGTGTGACCACACTCAATGGCTTTGAACTCCCACCGATTTCCGAGCTTGAAGCTTCCACCGCCCTTTGGAGACAGAGGCTGCGCGAGAGTGAATGGGCGGTAGATCTGGCCTGGGAAGCGGGCGTCCCACATTTGACTGAAAATTCCATCTTCAATCTGCTGCTCCATGTGTTTGATGGTTCCCACCGTGGCAACGGGGAAGGCTTCCGGGAAGCGCTTCAGCAGGAGAGGTATGCCGAACCAGTGATCTCCGTGGCCGTGGGTGATGTAGATGTACGAGAGCTTCCGCTTTGGTGCAATGTTCTCAATCCAGGAAATGAGCTCCTCAGTCTGCTTGATAGTGATCGGCGTGTCTACCAAGACAGCTTCGTTTGCTGAGTAGATGAGGGTGCATGAGATTGGGGACCATGTTGCGGTCGCGTTCGAGCCAGGAACTATGGTGGGAATCGGCGGTGCGACGTAGACGGCGGATCTCAGGTCGGTCATTTTTATGTGATTTAGCTTATTGTAGCAGAATGATGGGTGAGTTCACAGCAAGGCGAGTGGCTTCTGCGCAGTGGTTCCAAGTATCACAGTGATTTGACTGACGCTTTTATTCGAAGGAGGGAAGTCAGCTTCAAGGCCGATAGGCTTGTTGAAGACAGCCATCATGCCAGCCGAGGATCGAGGCATACTGCATGTTGATTAATCGTTTTTCAAGCTGAGTGCAGCAGTGTAGATCAGATGGATGGTCTAGTGAAGTTACTTTGGATAAGTCGTCAGCTTTTCTTAGCGATGAAGAGTCAAAGCGGGGTTGATTATGTGAGGAATTAGAGCATTGCAAGCAAGCTACCATCTTGAGAAGCCGCACTGACACAGTTCCCCAAAGGGAGGTTCAAAGGCAACTCGGCACTTATGTGCACAGGAATTCATATTTCAAGTTCTGGTTGATAGTCGATCATACCGAAACCCGTCCTATCAAAATGGGTTGGGAATCGGATTCCGGGACCGATGACCCCGCCATGTGTCATTTTCCCTGGTTGTGCCATTTGGAGAGCAGCACAAGGGAGGCCAGAAGCCGAGCTAGATAAGACACTGTAGCCTGAGACAACACAAGGTTACCTGTGGCACTGCTGAGCTTGATGTCAATTATCTTTGAGCTGTACTGTCTTCACATTGATAATGTGGAGGAATGTGTTAACGGCCTAGGACTTCTCTTCGGGACAAGGTATTGCACTATAGAGTCAAAGTACTAATGATGCTGCGATGAGACTGTGCGATCACTCAAGGCCAACACATTCGCAGAACACGCACAGATTGATCACTACGTGATCTTCATACCAGTGCTGAGGACTCTCCATGTCAGCCTCTCTTCAACTTACGAAATCTTATGTTTATGCAATGCTTCGAGCTCTCATAAACTTCACTTTGGTAAGTAGTCACAATCGCACAAGCTGTTGTTGATGGAAATAGACATGAACATTCTCCGAGATTGTGCGCGAGGGGCATCATCAGTATCCAACAAATTCTTGGCCTGTGTCTCTACCTTGGGCGGTCAAGCACAAAAGCTGCGACACAGAGAGCATAGACCATCTACTCAAGTTCATGACGTTGTTGCAGGCTGGCAGTTGTCTCCATTTCTGCGGGTGTCTGACTCGCAAATCTGGAGCGCAGTAGTAGTCTACGGAGTCATTTCATAAGACAACGAGGAAATCATCAGGTTTTAATCAGGAAATATCAATTGCATTGAGCAAACGCGAGCACCGTCGTATTCATTGATTTCCATATGTCAGCAATACCGTAAGACCACACAAAGGGACCCGTGTCCCATGGACTCGACCCCTGCGTGGCCTTCACAAGGGGTCCGGGTCACCTCGAAGCCGACCAGCGGCTGGGATCCCGCACAAGGGGGGCGGACGGGCCCCAGGTGAGGTCACTAACAAAATAACCTTAATGCTTAACTCAAACTATGCCTCTGTCACCTCCAATTTCTCCAACCTGACCTCTCTTGACTGCTTACTACCACGACAACCTCCCCTGGTCAGTCTTTCGAAACTTCGGAACCATCCCAAGGCATCATTCTGTTGCCCTGGTTTGGTCCAACAGCCAGGCTTCCAAGTGGGATCTCACCTGATTTTGTTTCGCACAGCCCAAATTCTACGTCTGCCCGCGATCTCCAACTGTGGCTCTTACAGGGGCTTTATCTTGGCGGGGGTTTCGCATCGCCTAACCTGGAGAATTCAACTAGCCCCTCACACGCACTAGGAGCTTGGGACTCGCAAGCTTGGTGAGTTTTCCCCAGCGTTGCAACCTACCTAGTGGACCATGCTTCCCGATCATCCCTGAACGCCACCACCCACGTTCGTCTCGTCCTCGGAAAGCCTGAGGGTAGTAGTAGACTGTAGTGGCTGCTGACGTGTGTCAGGTTCCGTTCGTGGAGGTGGATGTCTGTGGAGAAGAAAACATTCCCGTATGGCTTCATGCGATACTGGACTTCACTCTTCAAAAGCGCAAAGAAAGAAGAAAGTTGCGCGGCGAACCACGGATTTTATCAACTTTTACTACCTGATTGTCAAGGTCTCCATCATGGCATGAACACCAAGAGCCTTGGCCAAATACCATTCTATCACCATGATCTCTTGAGAAGAATGATTATCGTGATCGACTTGCCATTTGAAGAAGCCACTGCCTTGGAAGTCATTTGCAGAGCCACAATCATCCGACGATACGGGGTTTCATCTTTTCAGCTCACCCGTGAGGAGAACTAGGAGATATCGTGCCCACCAACGGCAGCACATGATTCCGAGCAAGAACTTCTGATCTTAAGGGGTTGACGAAGGCGAGGAAAGCTACCCCCTGTCCTCCCAAGCATACCAAGCCTCCCGCACATCCGGGCCAAGCCTTGCGACTGCTTGTGCCCACATGTTCTTCGACCTCACTTGCTCGTCAGGTTCAGCCCTGGCTATACTCCCCTGCGAGAGCCGCAAACCTAAAACAGAGCGTCCCTAGTTTTTCATCCCTTCTTGCGGATCTGTACCATCACTCTTCAGATGGCAGCGCGACATTTGATCCCATCTAGGTTGGTAAGATATGTGCAGCTGACTTGTTAATCCGACTTGTACCTGGTCCCGATTTACACGCTCACCGCTGCCAGGGTTGACTTCAACATCACCATGGACACCATCGAGCACCGCGTCGTCTCTAACACATCCGCCTAGGGCCCTCGTCAAAGCACTCCACGAATGACGAGACCTCGCGAGCCTCCTTCACACCAAGCTCCAACACTCCCATGCCCAGACCTGACCTAGATGGAGAAAGACGTGCCATCACAACAACCCGTGCATCCGAGATTCCGTGCACCGGATGCTGCGGGCGGCGGGCGATGTCCATCAGCCAAGGCGACGATGAACCAGACCCCTCCTGATATAATGACTTTCCTCCCTTCCTTTCTTGGTCTGCAGTGATCAGCAGGACTGTCACCACCTCTTCCATTCACCCACGCGCCCGTCTTCATTCGTTTCTTGGTAGCCATCCCGTGATTTCATCACTTGGCTACATCTTGTTTACTTCGATTCATTTCTAGAGACCGGTATCTCGACTCCATTCAGATCACATACGCTCCTTTATTCCTTCTTGTGTCTTTCTTTCTTTACTCAATAACGACAATCAACCCAAGTCCTATTCAGCCAGTCCTTACTACTCGACGAAGACACGATGCTCACACGATACGGAGTCATCTCATGGCTCGCTCTGTCGACTCTGGCAGCAGCCAATGCTCCGGCTGCACCTCCAGCCCAGCAACAATGCGAGCCGCCGAAAACCGAGACGATCGTACACACCGTCCACGAGACCGTTCATGTTCCTACAACAATTCACAAGACGGTACACGTCACGCTGCCGGGAGAAGTGAAAACAGTCCACGTTCCCGTCCCGACGACAGTACACCAAATCGAGACTGTCCACGAGAAGATACCCGTACACGTCACGGTTCATGTTCCGACAACAGTTAAAGAGACCGTACATATCACCCAGCCCCCGCAGGTGGTGAAGGAGACAATACATATTACAGAAACGAAAAAGGAGGTCCAGACTCTCCCTCCTCAGGTGGTCAAGGAAACAGTCCACATCACGCAGCCTCCTCAAATTGTGAAGGGAACGATCCACGTCACACTGCCTCCGGAGACGGTCCATATCACTCAGCCCCCTCAGGTGATTAAAGAGACTATTCACGTCACTCAACCTCCTCAAGTAATCAAGGAGACAATACACGTCACCCAGCCTCCCCAGGTTATAAAGGAGACGATACACGTTACCCTGCCTCCTCTGCCTCCTCAGACGATTCACGTAACGCAGCCTCCGCAGGTGGTAAAGGAGACGGTTCACGTCACCCTACCCCCTCAGACAATTCATGTTACCCAACCTCCTCAAGTCATCAAGGAGACGGTACACATCACTCAACCTCCACAAATCATCAGGGAGACTCTTCCCCCTCAAATCATCAAGGAGACTTTGCCACCTCAGACTGTCAAGGAAACGGTTCACGTCACCCTGCCTCCTGTCCGGGAAACAGTTCATGTCACCTTGCCTCCTCAGGTAGTCAGGGAGACTGTACATATCACGCAGCCTCCTCAGGTTATCAAGGAGACTCTACCACCTCTGCCGCCTCAAATCGTCAAGGAAACTATTCATGTAACTCTGCCTCCAGTCAAGGAGACAGTACATGTTACCTTACCTCCTCAGGTAATCCACCAAACTTTGCCGCCTCAAGTCGTCAAGGAGACGGTACATGTTACCCTTCCTCCACAGGTGGTCAAGGAAACAGTTCATGTCACCTTACCCCCCCACGTTATCAAGGAAACAGTCCACGTCACACAGCCTCCTCACATCATCAAAGAGACGATCCATGTTCCTCAGCCTGCGCAGACGGTGCAGGTAACACAACCTCCCCAAGTCATTCATCAAACGGTTCATGTCACCCAGACGGTCAGCCACTGCGCAACAACAGCCACAGCGCCAGTCTTGGGCCATCAACCCTCCCCACCTCCGGCAGTGCATACCTCGGCGGCACCAGTAGCACCACCGGTTCATGAAGCTCCTCCACCGGCCCACACCATGGCTCCTCCGGTCCATACCCCTCCACCGGTTGAGCACTCTGCCCCAGTAGCCCCGCCAGCCGAGGCGATGCCCGTTCATACGCCTCCTACCGAGGCTTTGCCAGTACACACACCTCCCGCAGAGGCTGCCCCGGTTCATACGCCTGCCGCTGCCCCTCCTGTTCACGAAGTCCCGGCAGTTGCTCCTCCAGCCCACATGGCACCTCCCGCTGAGGCTGCCCCCCCTGCTCATCAGATCCCACCCATTGGGTTCACGCCAATCAACCCTCCAGCGGAGGCGCCAGCGGCACCAGCCGAACCAGTGGCCCCGCTGGCACACCCTATGAAGATGAGGTTCATGGCTCGAAGATGATGAAGATCATTGGATAATCAGATGGAGGGAGACTCACTTTGGATGTGGAGATTCAAATTCCCGGACAACAACGATTCTAGAATAATGTGCGCGTATAACTTTTTTACATGTAATCTAAATACTAGATCGTAGCTATGATGCTGGCGAAGTTTGATACCCGGTCAGCCGGCCTTGAATAGACCACTTAATGCCTGTCAAGTCCCAAGTCTCTGCACTTCAAAATTGAGATCGTGAGCTAGTCTCAACTCTATTCTCTGTCTAAAAAGTCGCATGGGTATCTTTGTCCTTTCCTTTCCGTCCAAAATCAAAAAAGTTCCCACCCTCACGTTCATTGCCCTTCTTCTCCTTCTCGCTGGCCCGGCAAATCTCATCGAACCTCTGTAGTGTCTGATGAATATCAACCTGAGTGTTGCGGGCGAGATAATCACCCTCGACTCGTCTAGCAGCAGCAATACTCTGTCTAGTCTTGGACTTGACTGCTGTCCGAATACTCTGGTAAATACCCTGGCCAGGATACGCGACAATTCCGAGAGTTGCTGTTTCACCAAGTGTTAGCACTTTTGAGTCGACAAGAAGGAAGGAGTACCTTCGAATACATACCTGATGCTGTCTTCGTCGCCATGTTCATGACACCCTTCCCGACGCCTAACGCTGCACCTGCGGCACCGCCATCTCGTCCGCCCTTATACGGCTGATAAAACAAGTCGGCGAAGCCACCTCCGATTCCAGTAACAAAGTTCTTCCCACCGACCATGGCACCAGACTTCCAATCTGTAATGGGAGCGCGGGCCTCGACCTTTTCGCCGTAGAGCTTAGGCGCCTCGCGGAGACCTTCCGTGACGGCAAGCGGCACATCGAGATAGAACTTGCCGTAAGACTTGAAGAATGTGCCAACACCAGAAGCCGATGCCTTGAAGACTGCACCCGTTGTGCTCCCGCAGCCTCGGCCGGCACTTCGGGGCCGATCGAGAGCGTCGGATTGCGGGGGCGCGAGACTCGGCGATCGGGGCGGCGTCTGCACGTCTAAGCTGGAAACACTTCTGGCACTTCTCCTCTCAATGTCCTCCATCTCTGCGGCCTTGAGTTTGGATCGTTGGTTGTAGACTTGGACGGGTTTGACGACAATGTCGGTGGCACCCTTGACCATGCCGTATCCGACTCCCATCAAGGAGGATACGGTGCCTGTGACGGGATCCCACCGGCGGTTCTCGATGATGTATGTTTTCGTCTCGTGTCTAGATGTCGGGTTCGCCATTAGTACACGTATACACTAAACGATCACGAAGTTCGCTCAAGGTTGTTGGCACTCACGGTGACATATTTTTCTGGCCAATCTTGAGGTGGTCAAGAAGAATCCCCGCAGCTTGCTTCGATAGTCTGACCTGCTTCTTTCCTCTCTTGAACTCCCACACTGCCGGCTGGTTGGGGAAAACATCACACCGAAGCAGTTCAAGGGGCAAGTTGGCGTGGAATGACTTTGCTGCCGTGGCGACACCATTCTCCGTCTTCATTTTGGCCGAAAGTTCGCCAGCTGCGGTCGCGGCTTCCGGTGTCAGGCAGAATCGGATCGCATCGGCCAAGTTCTGGGCATTCAGCTGCTTGTGTGGAATAGGCTTTGGCCCGGCGCCTGCGATGGCAACCATGTCTCCCCAGAATGGCTGACTAAAAGTTGTTAGTTTCGACCTGGACAGAGCCTCCTGTACCAATCTCAAGTACTTACTCGCCAAAGAAGGGGACGATTGTAGTTGGTCTTCCGTTCAAGAGACCACAAGCGGTGGTTCCAGCGCCGCCGTGATGGAATACTGCCGCAACATTGGCAAACAGCCACTCGTGCGGGCAGTCCCCTAGGAATAGGATGTCATCCGCATCGATGCCTCCCAGGTTACTCCAGCCCTTTGATATGATTGCCCGAACACCCGTTGCGCGGACAGCTTCGACGAGGATCTTTGTCATTTCGTCGGGGTTATCGATGACGATACTTCCAAAGCCGATGTAGATGGGAGTCGGGCCATTCTTAAGGAAGTTTGCAAGCTCGATGGGAGGCTCGTACTGAGGGGGTTCACGGAAAAAGAAGCCGCAAACATCTATGTGACAGATCAGTCCCAGTTCCTCAAATAGTGTTGCCCAATGGACGAATCTTACCGATATAGGCAGGCCAGTCGATGGGTTTCGGTACAAGTGCTGGGGACCAGCAATATGTAAACGGAATCTTCTGCGACTCTGCAAGAACCGGGCCTTCGGAAAACGGCACTTCCTCAAGATCGATCGTCCTTCTCCAATCGTTGATGACATCTCCGAGGCTGCAATAACCATCAGCACAAGAGACCAAAGACGGCTAGAACAACTGCTTACCCTTGCCATGTCAACCATTCAACGATGCTGTAGGAAACAAAGTTTGCCGTCATCTGATCAACAACTCCCTTGTCTCCAAACTTGAGATTTGCCAGAGGGTGAGGGAAAGCTCTGGTGCTACTCCAAGGCATGGTAAACATGAGATGGAGGGGAACGCCCAGGGCTTGGGCACAGTGAACGTGTGCAAAACTCGGCGGATTGGCAATGATGGCATCAGCCACGAAAGGTGTTCCAGTCTGCGTATCAGGCTCGATACAAGACCTCCAGCACCCTTCCAGCATTTCCTTTACCATCTTACGCTTCTTCTGAATATCGCCACCCTTCAAACTCTTCAAGCTCGGGATCAGACCTGGGTTCTTGACCATGTAGGCCATCAGTTCGGAAGGGTCACCGCCGATAGGGTAGAATTCGAGGCCGGATTTGCGAACAAAGCTGTCAAAGACGTCGTGTGTTGCAAGGCGTACTCTGTGACCGTACGTCTGGAGCTCGTTTCCGAGCGCGATGAAGGGCTGGACATCGCCGCGACTGCCTACGACTTGGATGACGATGTTGAGTTTGACGGGAAATGTTTTCTTCTCGGCGAAGCGCTCTGCTGCTTCAAAGTACTCTGGCGGGGGCCCCTCGGCTGCTGCTGCTTCTGCGAGTTGGGCTGGGTCTTTGAAGTCGGGAACAAAGCGGGCGAGGGTTGTCGCCAGTCGCGAATCGAGGTTTACGTTGATTCTACCGTCCGCTATTGCAATTTTCTTTGGTTAGGATGTATTCAAAGGGTTCACTTGATCAGTCGGCTGGGGCTCCTACTTCCGACGCTTTCGCTATGTTGCTGGAGTCCCTCGTTGATCGCCGTCTCGTAGGATGGAAGGTAGTCTTGAGGAACGGGATCATCCTCTATCATCCTGACCGTGTTTCGCTTCGACATCCTGTACTCTCGAAGTATGCTAAGGGTTGAGTTTCTGGTTGATGAAGGTGAAGTGACCGCCGTATAGTAGACGTTGTCGGCGTGGAAGAATGAGAGTGGGTATCGAGAAGGAAAATGTTAAAGGATCGCCGAATCAATCAAGAGCAGAAGGAGGAAAAGCACGGTATGTTTTCTACACGATCACAAGAAAAGCCAATTCCTAAACGTGGAATTACTAACCAGGGAGGGGTCTCGAGGAATTCAGCCAGGCAGTCAAACCAATTTATCAAATATTCAGCTACCGCCTACTACTTACATCATACGCCGCCACATCCCCCCCTCCATAGTCTGTAGCCTTAGTCGCATATCTCGTACCTGACTCGGGTTGCCCGTAGGGCAAAGCCGAACGGGAGTGCTAAAGGGACTAGGATCTGTAGGGCCGGTAGTTTGAGCCGCGCCACAACGCGCTGAACTGCGAATCCACGTAAAGAAACCGTGTTTGTAAAGACTGTAAAGCTCTTTTGGGCATATGCAGTTGCGAGGAGCCGCGGACTCGGCAAGTTCCCGTCGGATCAGGGCCATAAAAACTTCATGGGTGTGGGCATGTTGTCGCGATCCGCAATGGGGGCGCCAGCCAATGCTTAATTATCAGTCAACATAAGTGGATACAACCTTAAAGATTTCATTGGTTCACTGTCGACCCGCGGGTTGTCGCATTGTCTCGCATCTCTGGTGACGAATACGCGTATACGACCAACAAAACAGAATCCGCGGATAGGTCGCTCCTCGCAAACCGCTAGAATCGTCGCTAGTGTAAAGTTCTAAACTTGGACCTCTCTCCACCGCCGCAAAGACTTGCGCATCTCGCCGAATTAGGCACCGTCTCCCGGGCTTTATGGCTTCGTCTTCTGACCAATGGGCTAGACTTGGTCATACGCGTACGGAGAGTGCCGCATAGTGCTTGATCAACGTGGCTCAGCCCTACTAGTACTCCGCGTACAATCTGAAAATCTGCAAATGCCATCCCTCAGAGGCTCAGTCTGCCTAGCGCCAGGGGGGGCTTCTTCGTGTTGAGGCTGTTTTGCATCGCAGCAACACTCGTATGCAAACACAAAGGGGTAAAGGGGGAGAATTCAAAGATGAACGTATAGACTTACTTATATCAAGGTCTTTGGACCGATTATGGATGATAATAGACCGCAATCAACAAGCTTCTACACCGCCCGCTCATAACCTTTACACGAACGGAACACAGTCTTTATCGCCTTGACATTGAAGTCTTTTTTTTTTCTTCTCCAACGACCAAAGCTAAACTTTTCGGCCCGCCCAAACTCTATTTGGAGCCAAATAATTACCTAATTGCGCCAAGGAGAGACTCGGGACTTCACGATGGCGGACAACAGCACCACGACAGAAGGTGCCTCTACCGGCTTCGTTTTCTACCACTATGAGCCGTCTATGGTAGCGGCAACCGTCTTCATTATCGTTTTTGGGGTTTCTTGTATGCTACACATCTGGCAATTATGTCGACGCAAGACGTGGTACTTTATTCCCTTTGTAATTGGGTGTATATGTAAGTTATGGCAGTCCAAACACAACCCCATCCTCAAGCACGACTCGGCTGACATTTCCCTAGTTGAAGCAGTTGGATACGCTGGCCGAGCCATGTCTGCGGGTGAAGCACCCGATTACACCAAGAACCCCTACATCATCCAGTCGATCCTTCTCCTCCTCGGCCCCGCTCTATTCGCCGCGTCAATCTACATGGTTCTCGGTCGCTTGATTAACCTTCTCGATGCCGGGGGATACTCTTTGATCAGACCCAACTGGTTGACCAAGGTCTTCGTACTGGGAGATGTGCTGTCATTCTTTGCTCAGTCTGGAGGTGGTGGCATGTTGGCGACTGCCAAGAACAGCGATAATGTGAAGCTCGGCGAAAACATCATCGTCGGCGGTCTCTGCATTCAGATCCTCTTCTTTGGGTTCTTCATCATCGTCACTCTTGTCTTCCACCTCCGCCTCTCCCGCAACCCGACACCAAAGTCTCTTACAGTTCAGACTCCATGGAAAGGTCTCCTCTACGTTCTGTACGGCACCAGTCTCCTCATCATGGTTCGATCGCTTTTTCGAGTTGCCGAATACGTGGGAGGCAAGGACAGCGAGCTACAGGCCAAGGAGATGTACATCTACATCTTTGATGCGACACTGATGGGCATCACAGCTATGGCCTTCAACTGGTTTCACCCAAGTCGTGTCATCAACAACCAGGCTACCGGCTTGAAGCAAGTCTCTAGCTCAGAGGTGCTCAACGAAGGATACCTGATGGAGAGCGGACAATACCCAAAGCCGCAACAACAGCAATACCAAGACCCGCGGTACGAACCTTACCAAGGAGCCGCCGGTAACCAGGGGTTTCGTAGGTGAAGGAAATCAACAAGGTGGCGTCGACGAGACTCGAGAGACAAGGGCAGAGCTTCCAGTAGCACCAGCGGGAACAAGAAAGCCGAGCGAAGAGAATTGGAGAGATTGGGCTTATGACCCGGTTACTTGAGTGGGGTCTTTTACTTTTGTTTTTGACTTGCCCTTTATGGGTCCCTTTTCCCTTTGTTCTTTGGCGAGGAAGGCTGGATAGACTTATGAAAAATGTAGGACTACATCACATCGGAGGTTTGGGATTTGGTACAAAAGGCATACTTAATGCCTTGGAGTAAACGGATATGAAACACGATTGTTCTCATACTTTGTACCAAGAATTCATTGAGATAGTTTCATCAGTCTATCCTTTTCTTTGTTTATGATGTGCAGTCAGTCAAGTTGCCAGTCTACATGCATTGTTTCAACTTCCAGATTCTTCAATTACGATATTGCGCGTCGCGCACATGCTACCTTACACTGCTTAAACATGTCATTGACCATCATGAACTTCCGCCTAGGCCACTAAAGCTTCCTCAGCAAGACCTTCCTGTTGGGGTCCGGTTGAGTCTAATAACTGTCAGCAAGCTGGGCCTTTCCACATTGAGTCCTGATCTACTTACTATTGCGCCGAATTCCAAGTTCTTATATCGCTCCTTGCTATCTCCAAGGTTCTTGATGTCATAGTTGGCCAGAGTCGTCGCCATGATCATCTTGATCTCGTTTACAGCGAAGAAGCGGCCCGGGCACGCGTGACGACCGTAACCGAAGGTCAAACTGGTCTGCCCCACGCTCACGAACTGGGCGTTTGCCACAACCTCGGCCTGTTTTGAGCCCGTCTCCTGTTTCGTCTTGGCTTGCCGTAGCTTGTAAAACCTCAAGGCATCGAACTTTTCAGAGTCGGGAAAGATCTCATCGTCGTTGTTGATGCCGATCACGGGCAACTCGATTACCGATCCGGCGGGAATGACCTGGCCGTTCGATAGAGTAAACGTCTTCAGGACCTTGCGTTGGAACGATGCTGCACCTATGATGAGTTGTTGAACTGGTAAACTAGCTTAGACTTTAAACTTACTAGGACCAAGTGCGTAGTATCTCATAGTCTCCTTGAGGAAGCTGTCCAGCTTCTTCATGTTCTGCATGGCGCCGCTTGTGAAGACACCGTTGCTTTCGGCTAAGGCTTGCTGGATGTCGTCCCGGAGCATGGGAATTAGCTCGGGCATAGCTGCTAATGTGTATAGACTTGATCCACTCAGTCAGCGTCTTTGGCATTACTTTGGCTATCTTCATTGTCCAGATACTTACGCGTTGGTGGTGGTGACAGTCGTAGTATGGATAGCAGCGAAGCTGATACCTAGTTGGTACCTAGCAAGCTCTCTATCATTCTTCTCACCAAACTTCTTTTGCGACTCCAAGATCCATTGCAGCATATCGTCCGGCTTTTGATAATCGGGGCTCTTCTCGGCCTCCTTCCTGGCGGTCACCACAGGTCTCAGGAACTTGTCCGCCTCCTCGATTCGGCAGTGAACCTTCTTGACTTCAGGTGTTCTCGCTGCCAAGAAAGGGCGCAGCCATGGAGCAATATCAGCAACCTTTCGAACGGCCTTCATCAGATCGAGGGTATAGTTGATTGCTGCGTCTAGGTATTCTTCGTTCCGGCAAAGTTCGGGTCCGATAAACACACGGCCAGAGGCCATGGCGATAACGCGCATCATTTTGTCCATAATCTTGACCTCGTTCCAGTCGCATGACTGGGGGAGCTCTGTTCGCAGAGCTTCGACGACTTCGTCGGCGATGATCGGGTTGAGTCGGACTGATTGGGTATTATGTTTGTTAGTGGAGCTCAGAGAATGGCGTCACGGAGATATAACATACCCAAGGCCGGTGTCAAAGCAGTCTTGACGGTATGAGGCAGCAAGTCGATATCGGTGTCTACACCTGTGTACTTTGCGTGCATTGACTACGGATTCATCAGCACTGCCTTCTCATTGTACAGTTCTTGTTCCAGGCTGACCTCTTCGATAGCTCGGTTGAAGCTGAGGACGTCATCAGGAAGCCTCTTCAGCTCGTTCATAAACTTTGGGGCGACGACAATATTTGGCGATTCTGCGAGTAACTTAGTAAAGACTGTCTTTTGTATCGAGGATCCGGAGCTTACTCCTTGCAGTGGTGATCCGGAAAGCTCTCTCTTTGAACTACGCGCATGTCCTGTTAACCCATATTATTGGCCAGTGAGACTTGTTGATATCTGCCATACCTTCCTGTATCCGTTGAGGTAGAGGTTCCTGGCCTCACCATTCATAAAATGCTTTCGCCGGGCTTCGGATCCTCCAAACTCTGTTCCTACCATGGGAATATCCGCCCAGGGATCGCTCTTCAGAACTGTCTGGAGCAAAAGCGCGACAGCACATGCAAATACTGCAGTGGCAGCGACAGGCCATCGCTGGGCCACTTCGATAAACAAGGTGCTGTCTACCACAGCACCGGCTGTGGCGTTCACGTTGGGAAGCATCGACATCGACATCTTGGGTGGTTGCCGGGTTGCGATGATGGTGTGCTCGGACAAAGACATTAGGCTCGAAAAAGAGATGGGACATAAGGGTGTAATATAGTATTGCTGTACCCTCCATGAAGTCCCCTTGGCTGCAAGCTTGACAGCAACCACCGAGTACAGTCTGGGGACCCCGCCACCAGCCGTGACGAATGCCACCAATACAGCCGACGGGAGATGAACTACGAGCATAAACTAGTAAGTATCCGGCGTGAAACTTGCCCGCGGATTGCGAAACCGGGTGGAACCGCCCAACTACCGGCCGGGGAAAAGAGAGAAAGATGGTGGTGGGCTGTG